ACGTGGTGAATCAAGGTAGGTAGGTATATCCAATATAATGTAACTTTTATGGTGGGTAGGTATTTGATTATCAATTTCAATCGACATGATTCAAACAAGTCCTTCCCGTATGTTATTCATTTCTCCAGAAATAATTTGTCAATATAATCGCCATTTGAGTAAAAAGTAAACGAATAATATAATAACGCTCGTAAATCTCGAAACCCTCATTTCACGCAGCTTTATTCGACTATATTATACTCGATATTATATTTTCACTCCCCATTTTCAAATCCAATAGACGGGTTGGATTATCCAACTCGGATAATAATTGAATTTTTATGTTAATGAGAAGAACTTTGGATTCACTTCTGAAGCCGCGGGAGTTCTACGAACCAATTGAAACCATTGTTGGTTGAATAAATAAAATAATATCATAATGTTATACGTATATAAGGTACTCTCTACCAGGGAAGTTCGGAAGATTTTGAATTGCCGAATCAACGAAATGGCGGGTGAATGTATACTCCTCCGGAATACACAGTAGATATAGGAACTGCTAACCGACCCCTCAGGGGTTCAGTACTTGTGAGTACGTGAATGGGATATTCACCAAACATCAACTTGTCTTGGCCCTAATAACACACGTTATCCAGAGGACATCCATTTTATATCCATTTGAAATCCAAGACATCCATGGACGCCAAATGGAACTATCATTTAATGTACATCGTTGTATATCCAGCTGATGTTCAAGTGTGTACTTCATCTGGAAGTCTATTTATAGATAGATAGATCTTTATTGAAATAGGATATCCTAGTATACAAACAAGCTAAAAAGTATAAAGTAAAATTAGTAAAATAGGTATGTGGTACATATTAAAACGATTTAAAATATATGACAAACATTGGATGAAGAATACATTATAAAGTGAGTTGAACACAAGCATAATAATATCTCCTCGAATATCTCAAAACAAAAATTATAGCTACACGTAACAAACATAATAAATATCATATATGTACATTAGACAGAAATTTCTTCAGTTCGTTTTTGAAAATGTTCAAAGATGGGCTATTTTTAATTGCATTTGGTAATCTGTTGAATTGATCAATTGTTTAGTGGGTATACCCTGTAGTCAAGGGACTCCCACACTATCAAATTGGGGATTAGACCCAAATGATGTCCATGAAGCATTTCCTCTGATGGGACACAATTATTATTATACTGATGAACAAACGAGTGGACAAACTCTGTATTTGTTATTGTTTTTCAGACTTGTGAACAAAAAATATCAGCCAGCACCCACAAAAATTAGAATCAACAATTGTCATACTGTATAGGAAGGCTGATGAGTAGTCGAGTGAATAGTCAATTGATTGAAGCATATTATTATCTCGCCCAACCCTTATTAGCATCCGAGTTAGCATCTACCTACTCTTATACAATATTACTGCCAGTTTGGTAAGTGGAATTCCACCCTCACAGTGCTATACTCGGTGCTATATATGCAACTAAAAAATACTATCCAATTTATTTTTTTATTTTCGTAATTCGATATGCAACAGCCGAGGCAACACAGTATTTCAGCCGCCCCCACAAGATGATAACAATCGCCTTCATGTTTTCTCCGAGGTTTTCTCGCATACTATGGATGCGTTCTTCTTGAAGCTTTTGCATCTCTAGCCGTTCTTTGTGTGTCGGTTTTTCGAGAATAACGACACCCAGACACCAGACAAAACGCTGCTTTGTGTATAAGAAACATTATTGCTACCATCTGCGGTAGTTAAATCCACTTTATATACGATGCGTGTCGTAATATCTATCAGCGGCGGAACACGAGCTGTATACAGTGCTTTTCTTTAATGTCCCCACCCTTTTATTTTTTGAACGGGTCAACTGAAGAAATTGAAACATGGGATAATGAAATTGATGCCTGAATACTATATTTGGAAGTAAGATTGACAGATGGGACTGGGCGCCATCTGGAGAAAAAAATAAATGGAAAGAGGGGTCTTGTTACCGAGCTTGTGACGCATCTTTTTGAAGCTCCTGACGAATTCTTCACAATCCTATAATATAAAGGTAATATCTTCACCTATACTACAAAATGGCGAAACATTTGATAGTTGCCTGAATACAAACACATAACTATGGATATTTTATTACAATAAGATGGAGCACCACCACATTACTCCAGATAAGTTAGAAACATTCGGATAATATTTATTCCTACGGAATGGCCATCCCGCATACCTTTCGACGTTTTTTATAGGGCTATTTGAAGCAAAATTTGTACGAAACTTCACATGATTCAATATTAGAGACATATATGACTATATAGATAGGTACCTGTAATGGTTGCTAGTGGGGAGATGAGTTTTTCTGAGCCTTAGTTAGTTATTAGGGGGCGCCGTAGAATTCTTGCCCATCCGGGCGCTGGTATTGCTAAAACCGGCACTGTCTGTTAAGAATAATAAGCCGTGGCAATATTGCCTAGGTGATTTTCACTAACTCTGTATAGAGGGAAAGCCGAGAGGAAAGCACTCCTTGTGGTAGGTATAGGTACATACAATGGTACAATCGTCTTCAGAGAACATGTTGCGTTAGGACGATGTAAGCACTCTTATTGAAGCGATGATTTAGGGAGATGAATAGTGCCTAAAGATGGATGAATTGAAAACAACATACCTATAAGAGTGGGACCGAGTGAGCAGCAACATGATGCAACGAAAAACGGGTAAAGTTGGGAAAACATCATGAACATCGAACCGATGAGTATTAAAATTTCAAGTCAATAAAGATGGTGGATGAAAACCTAATTTTAACTCTCTAATTCTGAGAACTGCAGACTAGACTGCAGATGTTTTCGATGATTATAAATAACAGTAACACGTTGAAATTTCAATAAGAACCGAGGTAAGAACCAATATCGATGGCCCTGTCTCGTTTTCATGTGACTTTCAATGCTTTATACAGGACGGCTAGATGAGGGCAGAACTAGTAGACTATGTATTGTTAGATCTTTGGCTGACACCCCTGTGTGACATGTTCTCTGAAGTCAAGTGTGCCTCTAAATTCGCAGAATTCTTATTGGACTGTGCAGCGAATAAAAACTGACCATGCAAAACTCGTAAGAGCTATGAAACCGATATGAAACTGTTCATTTTTTTTTGTATATCGCTACTTCGAAGTTGGGAACCGAGTTGGGATCCAACTACCCAGAAGTCGAAACTTGTGCCAGGGTAGGAAGAGCGGGACCTACAGCTTATAGTGGAAGTTCGAAAATTTTCTATAGGGTGAAGATGTGCTGCTAGGATTACAACCAAGAATAAAACATGTTCAAGAAAAATTCTCAGGCGATCCAGATTCGAACACACATCACCTCAGCATCGTAAACGGAAATCTAGCGATTATGAATGCCACGTTCTTTCATAAAAAATGGAAATGAGAAAAGATTTCAGAAATATAAAATAAGACCGAGTATTTTTTTGGGGAAGAGAGGGACTGCACCTTCATATATTATAGATTCACCACTAAATAGACAAGCAGGTAGGAGGTAGGTATTACCTATGGAGGTACCTACCTAAGACATATTAGTCGGTATAGTAGGTATACTTATTATCAAATAATTGATTCCAAGATATTGGCCTATTATTAATCTTCAGGTAGGTTGGATATACTTTATTCAAATGTGCACAAGACTCGCCGGTTATATTCTTGCGAGTATTCTTGATTACCTATATCACGAGATAAAAACATTTCATTTGTATTTTCTGTAACGAGCCAAGCATAGTTCTCGTAAAAAACCGCAAATAGTCAGTTGTTTCTTTAAAGCAAGTCATTTGAAGTCAGCCAGGGTTCCAGCGCGAAGAATGCACCATCATGTTGAAAAACCAGTTTAAAATTTATACGGAGCTACCGATCACTCGAATTATATCGAGATATTCTCAATATATATAGGTACTTTTAGTGCATACTTGATACTTTCGACGAATATTGTCCATAAAAACGTAGACAATATTATTGCATTTCTTGTTAACTTTGGTTTGGGGCCAAAGGAAGTAAGAATGGTATATCCAAAACGAGGGAGTTTTTACTCAGGTTTATACGAGGTTTATAGCATTCAACCCAACCCCTTCTCAAAAGTTGAGCCCATCACATTCAATTGTATTTTGTTCTATCTAACTAGGAAAATATCGGAAATTATCTTTCCTTGTTGAAACGATCTCAAGAAGAGATACATGATCAGTTCGTGGTAATCGATCAGCTCGTATTTCTCGATGATGTTGTGTGCTTCCGCTTCTTGAAACGATTTCAAAGTATCAAGCTCTACTTCACTACTCGGCGTTTGCTCTATACTATATCCATTATCCAGATATTTATATCCGGACGAGTATACCAAGGAGAATCCGAATCAAACGAAATATATTCCATTGCTTTTTCATCCCCATCTCGACTTTATTTTTACATGAGCTCGAAGAGGGGTCCTGATCTCGGTCCTGATGTAATCCAAACCAGAGTTTATACTAATTTGAAGAATCGTTTTCTCATCATATAAGATAAGTTCAATTTGACATTTCTCACAATATCTTAAAACGGAAAGGGGAAAGGCACTCGTGGGCTCGTGGACTCAAAATAGGATTATTGAAGCAAACCGGACCGGAGATGGTCCAAAGTAAACATTATGTAGCAGGTCTTTTAGGGTTGAGTCATATGTAGATCCTAGTGTAGATCAAACTGTATATGCATCTCGAACAGCCAAAGTACTGTGATTCATTGATTAATTCAGGATGAGTTCAGGTCCTAAGCCCATCCCATACGGTTCGCTTACGTGAACATGTTCGCAATATTATTCACTTATGTACCCACGTACCCCCTGGAGAAGCCTTCTATAAGTTATGCACTTCTAGTACGTTGTATGCGACTTCCAGCGTATTAGTACCCTGCAAACATGGCTGCAAACTCGGCTGCATCTGAGTCCTTCTCAAACACAGAATGTCGTTGGGCACCGAGTCAGCTATCCACAATCTCCACCGGGTTTGCAACCATCAACTTTCACCTTCGTCCTTTCGTTTGCCCTGGATGCTTCAGTATGCAAGGTGTTTTTCTTGTTTCTGCCTTGGGCATCTTGCGAACACAGGCCCTGATGGTCACATTGACACGTGATGTGGTTCGGTTAGATACTCGTATAGATACCATGATGCATGAGAATATGAGTATACCGAGTATACTTACCTACTTAGGTTTTAGTAATTTTGATGAACTGATGGTCTAGCTAGATATTAAAACCTGTTCCAGTAAACAAAAACATCCTTGGGTTGGAGGATTCATATCTGCCAAGAGATAACAAAGCGAATTACAATAATACATCATTGGAATTTATCATCAGGAGATTCCTTACTTGGCAAAACGTTCGCAATATTCGTCTCATCCTGTTTTATATTCGAGACACAGTATGGCATTAATATGATGCCATCTGATATATCTAGGATCACCATGAGTTAACTGAGTATTCTGTGGCAAAGTATATTGAAAAGGGCTTACCATCAACTTTTCCCATTGCCAAAATGCTTATCGTCTTGATTGCCGGTATGGCCCAAGCCGCCAGATGAAAATACTGCGAGTTAGCCTCGATAGCCTCATGGCCCCACTTCAAACCAGCCGCCAAAAACCAAGTCAAAGTCAACACCACCCACCAAATACTCGAGGCCATACTGAAAAAGTACAACACCATGAAAATAATCGTGCACAACTCGTATTTGGTACCCTGCGTTATGGTACTCTCGGTCATGATGCCGTGCTTGCTAGGATACGGTTGCCTGCAAGAAATAACGTCACCCGCGACAAAACCAATCACGTAGGCTACGGCCACCATCATGTAACACACGGAGAGGAAGATTATCGGTCTTTCGGGATACCGGAACCTGTCAGTGTCTATCAGGAAGGTGCAAACGGTGAAGAGGCAGCTAGCCGCACAGAGAATAGCCCAGGTGCCAATCCACACTCTGGAGAACTGCCTGCTGTTCTCGAAGAACATGAGGTGACAGGGCGCCCCGCAATTTTTCTCCACTTTGTCCCCAACTTTGAAGGCGTACTCCAGGATCTCTGGCACCTTGAACTGTTCCGGGCACACGAACCCAAAGTCTTTGCCGTGGTACGGGGACTTGTATCTTGGCGCAGCGGTATGGGAAACTAGCTCTGTGGTAGGTGTAGGCGAGCCTGTGTTGTTTCCTACGCACAGTACTGCAGGCTTGTCTTCCTGGTCGGGCCAGTTATCGCAGTTGAGGTTCTCTGGCCAGGGGAACCCGAACTTCATCATTATATCCTCGCACCCGTGTTTCGCTGAAAGGCATAGGGACTTGCAAGGTGGTAAAGGGTAGTCCAGGATAGTACAGACCGGCATGAACACTTGGCACAAGAAAAATTCCAAGTCCTTGCTGCAGTTGATCTTCACCAACGGGAAGTACTGATGGATCTCCATGCCGGCGTCTTCCATGGTCTGGTGACCCAGTAAATTGGGCAGGATGGTTTCATTGTAGGGCATCCCCGTGCAAAAGGGTATGTTTAGCCTTTGGCATCTTCCGTGGTGAGGTATCTCGTCTTCGCTCTCCTGCTGTAAAGAAGGACTGCACAAGAACAAAACCAGCACTAAACACAACATCTTGATGCTTCTTCTACGAGAATTTTGCCATTCTGTGGTCGCGTGTATAGCTTGGATTGCCGCGTAAACATTAACAAATAACGGAGAAACGTTCGACACTACCTACTTCGATCGCAGAGGCAAACTGAAGAGCGTCGGCCGTCATCTTTGAGTTCGTAGAGAATCGGGGAAGATCGGACAGACGGATCCACGAGCTTGTTTTCGGTTCGGGTTAGCGGTAGACTGGGGAGGGAGAATCCAGATAGATTCCGATGATTTCTTTGTTATCTACCCTCTATACGTGCACCACCCTCGCTAATTTGTACTGTGCGTATACAGGGTGATTCCTAACCTCCTTGATAAAATGATGGAAGCGAATCCTAACTTTATTTTAAGACAAACATATAAGTAGGATGGTTTTTTTCGACTGTTGCTTTTAGTTTTCAAAACACGCATGGTGTTCAAATTTTGTTTACATTGAAAGTGAAGCACTATTCAAAACTGGGTCATTATCGCGATCGACTTGAAAGAAAAAAAATTCGTGTTTTTTGTATGGTCATTGTGTCCATGGACATGCGATGAATAAGTGATTTTATTTTTCATCTCGAAAACAAAGCGAGATACGGAAACACCTCAAGAGATACAAAAGTTGTTACATTAGTTCCTTAATCTGAAAGAAATATTATGATTACAGAAAAGTATGCTGTGGCGTATATTTTTTTATCGATAAATATTGGTTAAGGTGCCCGTATATGCCACTGGACTGATGATTTTTTCCGTTTTTTTTTCTGTTAATTGCTAAAGAAGTCCATTTTAACTATGCATAACCATAGATTGCATAACGTTATAAACGAAATTTGTCTGAAATGAAAATGAAAAACCGATTTGAAAAAAAAAATTGACAACACCTTGTATATTGAAAACTACCCGACATTCGAAATAAACCTATTCGACATTTTCGATTGATAACTAAGCTAGTATTGGCTTTTTTGTAGAAAATACACAGCCATTTGAGGCAATACAGGGTGGTCAGTAAATCGGTGAATATTTATAGGCACATGTAAGTTAGCATCTTATGCTTTTTCGCATATCATCGCAGTAAATTAAAATTGTGACTGAAGCAACAATAGTACTCCATAATTGGGAGAAGACACGGGGGACAGTGGTGCTTCTATCATGAGTAAGATACAGTCTGATTTAGTAACTCCCCAATCAATTTCGCGGCTTCTATCATAATTTTTCCGAATTTATCGTTGGTTATTTTTCTTCGCAACATACCTTGGAAAAATAGCAATTTGAAAGAAACGATTGAAAAACTTTAAAAAAATTTCAAACCAGTCGATTCTTCACATTAATTTTCCCACTGAAAAATAGGTTAAGTTGATGGAAAAAGAATGGCAGTATACACACGTACTGACTCACATATCGTGGTAGTATAGCAACTTTTATACCTTGGAAGATCTTAAATTCATGTGGTTTTCGATATGAGAAGTAATATTTCATCGACTTCAAAGAAAGCTGAAGCTAGAACACCATGAAAAAGTCCGCAAAAAAAAAACTTACACAGGGTGTTAATAATTAAGTGGAACCATTATGCACTATATATTATGGTCTATACACATTTGCGAAACTGCCGGATTTTTTTAAATTCAGTCATATTATAAACTGGGATTTCATCTCAGAGCGTTTTCGTGATTTATCTTCAATTCGCCATGGGAACAAAAATAATGTTTTTCTTCAAGGCTTGCATTTCTTGAAATTTTTCTCCAGAACTCCTCTCGAACTGAATATTGGGAAGAACTATTTACATGTTTCCTGGAGGTCAATGAATGATGAATAAAGCACCAGGGCGAAAGGAAAATAGGAAAAAATCTCATTTTATCTGTCACTGGACGTCAGAAGATTCTCAAGATAGAGCATATGGAACATTAAATAAGGTGGGGCATTGCCCCTTTATGTCCCTCCTAAGGCCATGCCCAAATTTTTTTTTGGGAGGGAGTCCAAGAAACAAAAGAAGGGACTGCTAATTCAAAAAAATTTCTCGAACTATAGGGAAAAAGTCGGATTTAGGTCGCCATTTCGGGAAAGGATCCGGACCCCCCAAACCCCTCTCCCCGGGGCACGACCTTGGCCCTTTTTTTTTAAACATCAAATCATTTATGTCATGAACAAATGTCGGTAAACAAATGTTATCAAAAATTCGAAATTATGGTCTATTTTTCCAGGAATATAAATAAGAAAAACCAAGACACCAAAAAAATGTGGAGGCATAAATTCAATATTCCATCATAATAATCGAATAAAAATAGTAAAATGATTTTGGTAGTATGGGAAGAGTTCTTCATAGCCATTTCATATCAGATATTAGAGCAATATGATCAGATGGAAATACAATGCTAGGCAAAGCTGTATGTTCTGTAACCTCCTCATGACTTGGAAGGGGCACCACTTGACTGACTGCAAGATTGCTTGTTTCATAGTAAATATAATCCAAACAATCTGCAAACATAGATGTATAATTTGTGTATTTCGGAGTACCACATGCACTAGCCAATTTAAATGGTTGCTTTAGCTCTATACCATTTATGGACTCCTCCTTATCTGAAATGAATGAAAAAGAATTATTGGAAAGCAATCCAAAATATATCACTTAGACTCACTGCTCTGGTAATCCTTAAAATCACTTGGCAAATGTCCTTCACTAAATAACTTGTAAATACCACAGTCTGGGGAGCTGTTGAAATCTCCACAGAAAATTAAGGAAATTCTCTTCCTAGGAATCTGAAATTACCTTTATATTTCTCATGGAATTAGGAGTTATCTACATCTTGATATAATTTTCTCACCTTTTTTCTGAGTTCTGTTATGAAATTCTCCAAGTATTTTATAGCCAAACCAGCATGCAGGAGCCGAATATGATCAGCATCTGGATGGAAATAAAGATGAGTATTTGCAACAACTAAAACTTCATCTCTATCCACAACATCCAACACATTTGTCTGTAAAGTGGTTGATCTTGCCAAGATCCTTTTTGCCAGGTTTTCGTTTTTTTCTATATTTTCCCATAGGTCAGCAAAAAGTTTGTCAGTGGAAATGTGTTCAGAAAACACCAATCTGTGAGATTCCATCAAGTTGAACCGTTTTGAATAGAAGAACAAGGCTAGTCCTTCAGCTACTTCATTGCCCTTAGTGAAAAATTTGCTTTGATATCCTAAATGACTAAGAACAGGTTGGAGATCATATTGGTAAAGTTTTCTGTCCACTTCTTGAAGACAAATTATATCTGCATTATAACCTGAAATAATTGGAAAAGTGGCACTGAATGAATTTGTGGAATGAGTTGTTCATAAACTCACCAATGATCTCCTTGAATATCAACTGTTTTCGGTAATCAATGTCTAGAGCATAAGGTGGACAATAGGGATGTAAGACTGTCCTGGTATAATCTGAATCACAGTACAGATCAGCCAAAATGTTGTATGTTACAACTCGAAATCTAAAATATTTATTAAGTTATTTAGGAAAACTAGAATCCCATGAAAAAAGATTGAGGCCTACTTGTTTGAAAAAGTTTTCCAGCATCTTAAACTTTGCTGGATATTTTTATGTTGAATCAGTATTTCATGAAAAGAATTTCTCTTGAAGAAATATGGTTTAAATGATATACCACCAACATTCTTCAGTGTCTGAAAAAAGTGAGTGTTATATGCACATGTATGCACATTATCATGATCATTAGGTACAATAATAAATTAACCTGGAATTTAACTTTTTTAGAGTAATGCACTGTGAATGAGCACTAAAATATCTAGTGAATTTCTCAATTCTCTGAAACTCCAAACAGCAAATTTTAGGATACTGTCAAAAACCTGAAACAATTTTGTCAAATAGAATAAGAACCTTATATCTTTGAATGAAATTATTCCTATAGCTGAAAAATACAGGAGACTTCACCTACTCATTATCCCTGGCCCTTTCTCTTGTAAAATTGTGCCTGGTTTCAAAAGGACATTGACCAGGGCTTGCATCAACTTTGCAAACTGAAACAGCCTCAGCAGTAGGACCTTCAGAATTTTCATTTTTGGGAACACAACTAAGCTTCAAGTAATGGTTGATATCCTCATTAGTAGGAATATAAATGAAGCCTTTACCAACATGAGTCCATGTAGTATCATCAACAGATTTGGACCAAGTGAATTCAGACAGTTCTTTGTCTGTGAAGACAGTGTCAAATTTAGATGGGTAGGTGGGAAAGTTTGCTAATATGGACATTGGTAAAGACATAGAATCTACCCATGGTGAGTTTATTATGACTTCATAGTTTCTATCAAGTAATTTGAAGACTATATTATGATTACCAATCTGGAAAACATCACTACACAATTTTGTCTTTTCCAGTTCTTTGTCACCAAGATACAATAATGCAGTAACTGTTTGGTCTAACTGTATGTTATTTTCCTTCTTCATTTTCTTCTTAGATTTCTTGTTTACAATTTTCCCTACATTGGTCGTCACTCTGGATAAAAATACTTCTACATTTTCGGATAGTTTCCTACAGAAATTGAACTGTCTGTCGATTTTCAGGTCTTCATTCTTATATTTGAATGAAAATTCAAATTGATTACTGTCCTCACCTAAATATCTTAGGTATGCTTTTTCCATATTGAAAATATATTTGTGGATGAATTTCTGACCTAGTAAAAGTTTTGGTAACTTCAGAAATCTGAATAACATTATTTTTCTCCTGTTATATCAAATATGTTGGAGTTTTTGTTCATTTTTGGAATCTAAAATCCTAACCTCACTAATCTGACTAATTTGGAGGTTAGAGGATCTTCTTCTTCTTCTTCTTCCTCTTCTCTTCACTTTCAATGGCCATAGCTGCCTGGGATATCTGGCATCTGGCCAAGTACACGCCTCCTAAGTTTATCCTCAATGTGGATCCACTTCATAGTGGGTCTGAATTCTGAAAGGCTTTTCATACCCCCTGGAGAACCTGTCAAAAATTGATCACTTTACAGCTATTTTGATCTTTCAAAGCACATTTAGCAAGTCTAGTTCTACTGCTTTCACTCCGTGTTCCTTTTAGCACTACTCTCATACTTTACTCACTACCTCACATGGCTATTTATAGACTTAGACCAGAGATCTCAGACCAGAGGAATTACAAAATTCGCAAATGAATTATCACAATTTTGAGATAATATGTTGTGAAGCGAAATGGGAGAGAGCCCTGAGGGCTTGTTTTCACTACTGATGCTGGTTGTGATTGGAGTCACTGGAGGTATTGATCGTTGATGTTGATCGAGAGAAAAGAATAAGTGATTAAAATCATGAAACCGTTGGCATTATTCAAGGATGATGTCCGAATTCGCGTCTACTGGTCTACTACCTAATGCCTAATGTTAATAATTCTATTCTTTTTTGCCATAATTATACATCATTGTTGCATTTTTCGCCATTTTCTCCTTCTTTTCATTTGTCTTTCAACTTGATCAATCTGATTTGATTTTTCTGCTCCCTGAAAATTCGCGGAGGAAATGAATCCTGCTTCAAATAATCTATGGCAACTTGCTCCAGTCAAACGAACACTCAATCATCAATTGCTCGGAACAAACGAATATCAAACATTGCTCACATCACTTTTTAGCAGGGTGAGCATGACAAACGAACAGCCCTTATTTCAATCCTTTGAGAACAATGAAGAAAAGTGAACTTGTGTTTCAATATGAATAATGTTTCACGTTTCACCTCTAGGAGATATATGCTCCAGGGACAGTCATCTGCTGACAGATCTTATCATTCATTCACCAATGGATCAGTTCTAGAGGGATTCGAGTGCTCGGGTGCGTTTTTCATTCCAACATTTTATCATGCGCATGAATCAAAGAAACCATCAAACTGTTGCAAAATTCCGCTGGAATGTTGATGGACATCCATCAAACTGTTGTAATAAAATGCGCACTTTTAAATCGCTTTTCGAGAATCCAGCAGTTTGGAGGAGATTGTCATGACAGTTGACACATTATAGTGTTGTTTTTTGTTTTGATTTGATAGAAAACAATTAATATTGAGGATTTTTGAGATTCTCGAGTGATTTTAGAAGAAAGAGTCAGTGTTAATCAATAAAATCTAATTAGCCTCTTCTGATTCTCAAGATACATGATGACTGACACACAACAAAATCCGTGTTTCCATCAATGTGTTGTATAAACCATTGTTCAATCCTTCCAGCATAAATTCCAACAGAACAATTGGTGACGTCACGACAAAAAACCGCATCTATCAGTGCGCACTTTCTTCGATGGAATGAAAAACACGCCCCTCCAAGCTCTTTGTAATGGCGATGACTGCTAACTATCTAGACTGAATAACCCGTCAGACAGTCTAGATATACAGCTGTCATTGGTAATGAGAACAATTTCTATGATTGGAAAGCGAATTTGACAGAAAGGACAAAATCGGAACTTTGAGCATCCGTGGTGCGTGTGATGTGTGATTTTTTGAAATCGTTCATAAATCAATTATATCATATATAATAATTTTGACAAAAACTGAATTGGAGATAAATCGAGAAGTCAAGCTTCAGCAGCACTGTTCTTCAGCAGTTGTATTCTGGATTAATATATACGGAGACCCACTTTCTTCTAATCAGGTTATGGCAAACAGCTCCAAAAAACGTATAATGGTAGAAACGAAAAACTTGTCAAAAGACCCACCTCCTGGGATTAGTGCAATACCAGACGAATCCAACTGCAGATATTTCCAAGTAGTTATGGCTGGACCAAGCGGTTCACCTTATGAAGGAGGCTTATTCAAATTAGAGCTCTTCCTCCCTGAGAACTACCCAATGTCACCCCCAAATGTTAGATTCCTCACTAAAATCTACCACCCCAACATTGACAAGCTGGGGAGAATATGCTTGGATATATTGAAGGACCAGTGGTCACCAGCCTTGCAAGTCAGAACAGTCTTGTTGTCTGTTCAGGCATTACTCAGCAGTCCCAATCCGGATGACCCACTTGCCAATGATGTTGCTAATATGTGGAAGAGTAGGGAACAAGAAGCTGTGATGAAGGCAAAGGAGTGGACAAGGCTCTATGCCATGGAATAAAGTGCAGATTCATGTCAAGACAACTGACTGTGATAAAACCATGTTAATATTAATACTGTATTGCTCATGGACATATGAATGGTATTGCCATATATGGTTTTTAGTTCTGGTTCAGGTCTTGATGGATAGGACATTTGCCTATATATTATTTTTATCTGAAATGATTATTACTAAATTGCATCAGTAGAAAAGCTCATCAATTAGATGATATTCCATGCCCAGTGTGATGCTGAAAATTGTTGTGGCAGAATAAATTGTTTGATAAAGTGTACTGAACTTTGAATGTGAATGCTTAAGTAGGTTGTCTTTGTGATATATCAACATTCATTTGAATATTCATGGAATATTCATATCAAGATATATAGGTTGACAAAATGGTTACTATATTACTGATATTTGTATATTAATTTAATTTTCTAGAAGAGAATTCTATGTATCAATCTGAAACTTCTTATAAAATTTATGCTACCAATATCAGGGTAGAAATTGACAATATATGTTAATTTGTTAACTTTCTATTACTTTTTTCCTCCTAGCAAATGTTAACAGATACAAATTCATATTCAATTATATACCTACTTTGTATGAGTTTCACTCAATGGGAGGTGGGCACTTAGGTGATACTTGCCAAACAAAAAACTAGATAATCAAAGGTAATGGATTTGATAGAGATTCTAGACAGATAGAGATTTATATACCAGCATATTGTCAGCTTGTATTTATTATCTATTTCATGTTCTTTCAGGAAATAGTTGATTTGTTGAAAAATTAATTTTAAAATTTGGTCCTATGTTAATAACACTTCTCATTTTTTCTTTGGAGATGCTTTGGAATAGAAAGCATCTAAGAAGAGTGCAGCAAAAACTACAATGGCTCCAGTCCACTGCCTTCCAGATAATGCATTTCCAAACAGTATAACAGAACCCAGTACTGTGAAGAATTTTCTTGTAGTAGTCACTACTGAAACTACCAATGGTCCAAATTCTGAGACCTGAAAAATAACATTACTGTGTTCAACCTCAATATTTTATGTTTTAATTCTTAAGTGATAGTGCATATATTTCAATTGCCATTTCTGCAAAGTATGCATAACTAATTAATAATTTTAATTGAATAACTAACCATGGAGTACAAAAATAGTTGGCCAACAGCTGATGTTACACCCAGCATCAGCAAATTGTTCACAACATAGGGATATTTTGTAGCAAATTCATAAAATTTACCATACTCCCCACTTAGCAGAATTGTGACCCCCAGAAAAAATGTGCACCATGCATTGGCAATTTGCATCATCTGGAGTCCAGTGGGTTTAGATTCTGCCCTAATTCTGTCCTAGAATAATAAACTAATGAGATTTGAGAATCATCTCATTTACCTGAATGTTTCAGAAAATATTCAGAATTATTGTTATTTTTTCAGGATCCTTCACACACATATAGAGGAAACATGCACACTAAGTATACATTCAAAAATTCTGATAGCATAAATCTAATAAGGTAAAGGTAAATTATCAAGTAGATTCAAGAAAAGTGGAAAAATCATATAACAATACCTGTATTGCACCAGTCAAACCATCCATTAATAATGACAAAACTAGCAACAATTCGCCAACACCAATACTTGATTCTTCTTTTTGTGCTTTTCCCTGATCTTTCAACATAAATAGCACAATCCCAACCACTATCATAAAAATAAACACATACTTTTTGAGTGTATAAGTCTTTTTTCCCAGAAGAACTCCCAGAATCATAACAGGAATGGGCTTTGCAGATTTACCAACTACCTGTGTTGGGTAAGGTACCCACTGCAATGCCATATTTGAACACACCATGGCAAGGAGATAAGTGACTGACATACTAGCATAATATAATTTGTGAGTTGTGTCCTCAGGTTGAGGCCATATTGTGAGAGCAATTTTTGCCACTAGGAAGTTAATGACACATTGTACGAACACTAAAGTTAATGTATAAGTATACTTTTCATACTTTGTTGATATGGTTCCATCTTCTTGGACTTCTTCATAGGGGTATTTACCTCTGGTTATTTTTTCTTGTACTATTCCAAAGTAAAAGTACGACAGGAATATTCCACCTGCATATAGTAAGAACTTATTAGGAGGCATTTTTTATTTCATAAACTCAAACTAAACTTTTATTATTCTAGATAAAACAACACATCTGTTCAAATCAACCTCACACGTTCAAATCTTCCACTCTCTGTCAACTGTCAAAATTGTATTAGTTTGTTGGTTTATTTTCATTGGTCCATTTCGAGTTGACACGTGGGGGTGTTTATTTTATGAGTTCTTGTCTTGAGTTCATTCAGAATAATTATTCAGATCATTGCGCGCGGGATGGCTTGCAACGAACAATGAACTCAATCACAGACTCAATGTAGGTGTTTACTTTGAGTTTATTGGTGCTGTGATAATTTCAAATTCAAATTGGTCTCTTCCATCTTTCTACTGGCCTCTGATCTATTACATTTTGGCCTGTATTGAACTAAATGACGATCAGCACCCCCACAGTCGACTTCCGAGAAGCCAAATCACCATCCGAAACCCCAAAACTGTCTTCCGGAACAAATTCTGGGGGCGACAAAAGCGTTCCAGATGGAGATTTGGCCTCTTCGGAAGTCGTCTGTGGGGGACTGGGGGTGCGGATTGCCATTAGTTCAATCAAAGGTGGAGTCTATTTTCATCATGGTTATAAACATCTCAGATTATAAACTCACTGTCAGCTGTCAGTGTGTCAGTTGTGTCGTGCTGTCGTGTTGATCTGTGGTGTGTTTATTTCTGATTTTTGTAAACTAAAAACAAGAAATTCGAAATTAAAAAAATTAATGTTGATCTATCATTCAAATTTTCTGAAACGCTTCTATAGTTCATAGTGTTGAAGGCAACTACCCAACCCACGTTTTCACTGAATTATCCTTAATTGATGAAAAGATGAGTGCTCAACAAAGCCCAGCAAATCAAACAGTAGAGCGAGAAAAGGTGTATTTGTGGATTTTGGAATTAACAAATCCAGAAACTAGGGAAAACGCCCTACTTGAATTGAGGTATGTTCCTTGATTTAAAGGTATGTACTGAACATATTACCCAAATTTAATTTTTGCAGTAAGAAACGAGAAGTAGTTCCTGATCTAGCTCCAATGTTATGGAACAGTTTTGGAACCACAGCAGCTCTATTGCAAGAGATTATAAATATTTACCCAGCCATAAACCCACCCACACTAACAGCACACCAATCAAACAGAGTTTGCAATGCATTGGCTCTCTTGCAGTGTGTTGCATCTCACCCTGAAACACGTTCCCAGTTTCTACTTGCTCATGTACCCCTGTTCCTATATCCATTTCTCCATACATCATCTAAAACTAGGCCATTTGAATATCTGAGGTTAACTAGTCTTGGAGTTATTGGAGCCTTAGTAAAGGCAAGTGTTCCATTAAAGTAAAGTAGTTTTCATATTATTTATCATATATTGCAGACTGATGAACAAGAAGTGATAACATTTTTGTTGACCACAGAGATTATTCCACTGTGCTTGAGGATTATGGAGTCAGGTTCTGAATTGAGTAAAACAGTGGCTACATTTATTCTTCAGAAGATTTTGTTGGATGATAGTGGTTTATCCTATATATGTCAAACTTATGATAGATTCAGTCATGTTGCAATGATTCTGGTAGGTTTTTTTTTATTATAGTCAGAAAGTTGGAACACTGTTTCCTATTATTCTAGGGTAAAATGGTGATATCTCTGGCTAAAGAACCTTCTGCAAGATTATTGAAACATGTTGTTAGATGTTACCTAAGACTTTCTGATAATCCAAGGTACTTATAACCTACTCAATATTCAATTAGGTGTTTCAAATAAACATTTTTCAGAGCTAGGGAAGCCTTGAGGCAATGCCTACCAGATCAATTGAGAGACAATACATTTAATGTTTGTTTACAAGAAGATAAATCCACTACACATTGGTTGTCTCAGCTATTGAAGAATCTCGAAACAGCAGCTCCAACAGATCCAAGACAGGTTGGGATGTCACCCCTTACATCTCAATAAGAAGTTCTGATATAATTCTTCCCAAACTGCTGCACAAATTGAACCAATCAAGCAAACTTTCATGTGGATAAAAAAATTGAACTAAGGATTAATTTTCTATTGAGAGAATGAAAGTTGAATTATACTATATTAGATATTTTGAAAGTTGCAGATTCAGAAACATCTTCAGGTGTTCATTATCACCCATCAATTGAAATAATAAATTAGACTTAGCAAAAAGAAATCAGAATTCTATTCAAAATGAGAATTTCCATTTTCTCAGTTTGATCTCCAGAAATACATAATTTAATTCTTACTTCAGTTCTTTAACTAAACTCTGCATGAACCTCTAGTCTTGATATTATGTTGTAATAATAATTGTGAACAGAAGCTTCAACTCTGAAGAACTTAATGTACAAATTCAAACTATACATTTTTCGTGATATTTATTCTGTAAATTTGTCATTGACTGTATTTTTTGTCATCTTATTCTTGAGGGAAAAATAAATGTTGATTTGTTTTTGTATATTCATACATTTTTAAATAAGGTAAGTATCCTAAGAAGGCAGGATTTGTGTAATGAAGGACTAGGAAGTTATGTACAATAAATGTATTTCATTACATAAGCAAAATACCAAGGGGCATTGAAAAATGTTTTTTCTACAGGATGTCTTGCATCATATTCCTATATTCCAGCTGATCCTGGCACATCTTCAAAAACACTTGGTACTTCCTTTTGTGATATTTGACATCAACCTCATTGGGCATAATAGCTTTTCCCTTGCCCCCCATTAGTTGAATGGCAGTCTTTGTGTCTGTAAAATATTGAGCAGCACTAGCCCCCAGGATACCAGCACCCAGTAAGACAGATTCTGCTTCATCAGAAAAAATAGCTGGCTTTTCACAGGCGTCTGCATGAGTTTGTAGTAAAACAATGTTCTTTGTTAGACCACCAGCAAATATTAAGGTTTTGAGCTTGTCATAGCCGGTATTATAAAGGCTTTCCAATATGTGACGAGTACCATACTGAAAATACTGAAATTGTACTTTGGAATACAAGAGTGAAAAATGTATATACAAAAAATCATGGAGTGGAACTCAATAGTCTGTTCAAAGTAAGAACTTAACATTGAATAGGTACTCTGATGTCAGTTCACCAGAATCTCCATCTTTACATAATATATAGAGTCGCCAATTTGAACAAGATGTAAATAAAAAAAACCAGCAGGTACCTAACAGTTTAGGTTTAGTATGATTAATTTAAATTTCTATCTTCAAACTATACATACCGCTAATGCCTGTACTGTAGCCAAATAAAGTAATGCCAAGTTTTCCTCATCTGAAGCAAGGGTCAAGCCACAAACCTGTAAAATAAATAAGTAATTTGGTGACATTTCATCTCCCAGTTGTGAATGAGATTGCCATATTATTATTAATAATAATAATAATACTGTACTTTTATATCTTTCACTAATTCAATTAAAAAATCTCACCATTCCTTTCATCATAGGGTCTGCAATGGGAGATCGATTTCCATGAAAGTCAGGCCAAATGTGCAGATCTTTCGTAAGAAAGGATAATGATGGCAAATTCTGTTTCTCAGACATACCTGCTAATAGTTCATTCAGATATTGCTGAATGTGCCTAAAAAATTAAATCAGAAATAAGTCAACTGACTTTTATATTTCTATAGGTAATAGGCACTTATGGATACTCGATCAGCTCTATATGAATAGGCACCTATGTTTGTTGGTGGTTTATTGTAAGCAATGAAAAGAATTGATTAAATAACCATATAATTTTTATTTGAGCCTATCACTGTTGTATTTCAGAAACAATGTTTCTTGGGTGATAAAATCGATCAATCTTTGTAAGATGAGAAGTGGATATATGAGCCGGTTAGCCGGCCATCACTGGTTTTTGGCCACATTTTCATATTATCGCCTATCATATAATATAGTGAAAGTGTGAAAGAAATATAATTATCACTATGTGAAGAACATCCCATTCTCGGCAAGGATCTCCCAACCGAACCACATATTATTATATACCCCGGTGGCAAACTATTATGAATTATTATAAAATAAGTAAATAATGGCCACGTTCACATCATCGTATGCTGGTGAATACAGAATTTTGTAGAAAAATACTAGTGAAAGGGTGTCTCTGAAATAGAGTTGAAAAATTTAGATGGCCGGCAAACCCATATGAGAAAATTCTAAAAATCCCTTACTCCGCCATGATGGTGTCATTTTTTATTTTTGATATCTAGCTTTTTCCAACATAAATTGAATGAGCAGCAGTATGTGCCTTTCAGTTTATTGCTTCATATTCATACAGCAGACTATTATCCGGTTTTCGGCCACCAAAATCAATAATATTTATTTCTTTTACTCACAGTATCTGACCGAGCAGGGGGAATCAAATGCACCATGCACCCGTTTTCGGCCAGTTTATGAATCTCATCAAAATGATTATACTTAATGTGTATGAGAATGAAGACAACATCATATACTGGAATAATATTATAGAGAATAGCTCTTCTGCTTGTGCTAGGAATTGTGAAAATGATATAGAAATGAATGAAGAAAACATCATAAGAAAGAGAATAAGACGAGCCAGAAAGAATAAAAAAATTAGAAAATATTAATAACAATATTTTAATATATATTTCTACAACTATTTTTATCTTTTAATAAAGTGTATTATTTGAAAGATTTGCTTATTTTTTTTATGTATAGTGCCTTCTTTATAATGACGTTAAAAGTGGCTTGAAGTACCTAAAGATATTAGGTCGACAACCGGCTCATTCACCCTAATTCCTCGTCTATCGTATATATTATCATCATAATGTGAAGTTTAGGTCAGTGTATATGTGATTATTATTGCTTACATATCTCCAATTTTTTCAAATATTCTTGGAGTAGCTGGATGATTATTGATGACATGATCAATTAGTTTTCCCGTAGCACTCTGGCCTCCTTCATTTAGCCACATATTTGGAATCATGGCGTTCTTGTAGGGTCCCCAAACGCCAGGGGTAAATATTGGATTACTGGAAACAGCCATGTGGCACGTTGAAGTTCCACTAATTATTGCTATAAGTGATGATTTTCTTGTTAAAGAAGCCAAGAATATCAAAAACAGTCTGAAAATGTTTCGAATTCACTGTGAAAACTTGGAACCCTTCTTTCGCCATTAATTTTATGAATTCCAACTTCCCGCCAAAGGTCGTCTGAAATGAATTCTGAATTCACAGATTTTGCGTTCTACGCGTGACATTTATCTTCTTTTTTTTATTTAGAGTCGTGTTGAAGATGAGATACAATATACAATTCATAAGTGACATTGACTACAATGTACTCTACTCTATACAAATCTTATTCAAAAATAAGAAGAAGAAATAAGATTAGAATATAACCTTTTGGATCTGTATTCATTTTACCGGTTTTGAGAATGAAAACTGGAAATAGTGAAGATTTTTTAGGGTTTATGCATGTATAAGCACACAGGATCATAACTCACAACATTTTTAAGTTAATTGTTCTCACCTATTCGAGTGTTGAAGTCTGAGTCGATCCCGGGGACGTTACAGCCAAACACCCCCAAACCTCCTGCATGTGCATCTATCATGGACGTTCCGACTGGGGTACCAACCAACAGCCCAAACTCTTTTGCTGCCCGTGCTGATAACCCATCGCCTACAGGGGTTCCAGGTGCTTGTACTACTGATCCTATCATCTTCCAGTTGTTATCGGACAGCTCCGAGAGGCCTATCTGTTCGAAATACGACTTGTTCCAACTTTCAGTGCCGTCCACTGACATTTCGTAAGTCCATTTACAGACTAGAGAACAGGAGGATCTGTTGACATTTTTTAAATTGTGATTTGCATCAAATTGATCCATAGGCTCTTTGGCTGTTCATAGAACCTACATGAGTAATATAGTTTTAACAAATTTATGAATTAAAGTTGAATCAGCATAAAAGTTCACATTATTAAAGTTTAATTGAGTTCACCTCTATTTAGTTCAATCTATAAAAACCTATAAAACTGCTGTTTCAATTGTAGGAATATATACATCTGAATATGAACCTTTGAATGAATTTCTATGAACAGACCATTGAGCTGATTCACACCCAACCTTGAATCATAGTCTGTAGCTCTCCATGTGAGAAAGTCAGGCAAATCAAAGAAGTATCCAGCTTTATCCCAACATTCTTTCCTCAGATTTTTTTTCAACCACATTAGTTTTGGTGTTTCCATTTCCAGGGATATTTTGCCACCCACATATTGCAATACCTGGTGGTTCAATGTATTGATTTCAGCAGCTTCTTTGACTGCTCTGTGATCAAGCCAAAGTATAACATTTTGAGCATTATTACCTACAAAAATATTTTTGTAGTACCTATTGTAAACTCCTCAGATTCAGATAATCCTCAAAGAACATCAAATTAATGTTCAATTTAAATAAAGTCTATTGATCAAAACAATTACTTATCACCTATGTACAAATATGTCCACTTTGTTAATAATTAACTAATGAATCATTTAGTTGAAAATTCTTCAAATAGGTACCTGTAGGACTGATTGTTAAGGGCTGATTAGATTTATCAAAACAAGCCAAGGAACAAGTAGCATCAAATCCAATGCCTTTTACTTTTTCAGGACTCACATCTTCAACCACAGACTGAAATGTATAAATACTTTATGTACATTTCCATTTGGTAAGTTGACAACAAAAAATGCTTTGAATTTCATTGGTATAGATACTTATATTTGATAGTTTTAGTCATCCTGTATATTCATGTTTAATCAAGGTAGTGATGAAAAATCATTGGAATAAACAAAATAGGAGACAAAATATTTCATATATTGAAGACTGTAATCTTTGGCAGGATACTAATCAAACTGAATTTGAGGCCTTTTCAGAAGAGGATTATTAAACTGTAGATACTGTAATGGTGAAAAATCTGCTTGTTTAGTGGTAAAACCAATGATTTTGTACAATTATTTTTGAATTCTGAATTAAAGAAAAAAGTTATTCATCTGAGAAGAAGGTGCAAAATTCCATTTATGACCAATATTTCATCATAGGAGGCAATGGTTATTTATTATTCAAGAAAAAAAAAAGGTGTAGATTTTAGCTCCACAGGTTGTCTTGTCTCCTGAGGCCTAGTTGAGGGAGACAATAAACCATGAGCTTAAATCTAATATTTTTCCATGCATAATGCACTATTTTTTCCTGTGACAGGTAAGAGGAAGAATAATCAATATTGAGAAGATATAACATTATATTAAAATCAGAAAATTATCAATGTTCATCATTGTTCTTTTGAAGAAATCAAATATGTGTCAGTCTAATTCGTGATTTGATTTTGAAAAATTGTGAATATAGTGGTTGTTTAGTAGTTTATGAAACCACTCTAAATATGGAAGATGAAAGGACTTGCAGTTCTTTCTTGGAGACGGTTTTATGGGCTTATTTTTCGGAACTATAGCACAACAAAAGCAATTTATGAAAAGTGATATTTTATAACCTGGCAACAGAGATGAAAAACTTGTTTCCCATCACAGAAAAAACTATTTTATTTCAACAAAGCTTTTCTTTTGAATTTCTATTTGTCATTTGTCACCAAACCAAACTGGCCCAGTATGGCCTTGAATATAAATACAGTAATAGCAGAGTGTAATAGCATATAATATTTAATCTCATTACTGGAGGAATTACCTTTACACATTTAACCACAGCATTCCATATATCTTCGGTGCTCTGTTCATAAAAATCCGGCTGATCATTCCAAGTTTTTGTTTCTTGCACACATGTTTTCACAATTTCACCTGAATCGGTTACTAAAGCTGCCCTTGCACTACCGGTACCAACATCTACACCAACAAAGAACGATTTCCTGCATTTTGGATTTTCTCCAACAGCGTTACACGTGCTCGCTGCCATCATGTGATTGTACGAATCCAAGGTCTTTTCTATGTGACTACTAATCGCTCCTAATTATTGGGTTATCGCAAAATGTTATGCGCTTAATCCCATATTTGATTGAAATGGTATATTATCAAAGAGTACATCATCACTTATTATCACAAGGTTTTGACATTTGTATTTTGACAGTTTTGATTTTCTTCAAATTGAACGTGAATATTCTCGGAATACATACATAAAGCTTAAACTTTTTAATCATTTTTTTTTGTCATCAAGTTAGGTAGGTACCTATCCTATACCAATAGAAAAAAAAATTGGGCTCATACTTCCCATGGGTCAAAACTTCCCAAACTTCCTCAAATTTCCTCGAACTTACTCAAACTTTTCCGAACTTCCTCGAACTTCCCCGAACTTACTCAAACTTCCCCGAACTTCCTATAAACTTCCTCGAACTTCCCAAACTTGCTCGAACTTCCCAAACTTCCTCGAACTTCCCAAACTTCTTCGAACTTCCTAAACTACTGGAAACGTTTCAGACGTCACAAACCAAGTATAAGCAATTCAATATTTATCGATTAAAAATTTGTTCCTTTCCCTATGGTAGGTAGGTATCTCGGTAGTTATATACAGGGTAGTCCGGTTTGTAATAGAAAAAAATCAACAGTGTGTTGTACTCGTTGAGGTAATGAAATACTTTTAAACGCGTCGTTTTCGAGATATAGGGTTTTGAAAATACGAGTCTGAACGAGTCTGAATATTGTTTTTTGATGAAAAGTTCGAAACGGTCTGAGATAAATCAACAAAATTTCTAACAGATACTAAACTTTTTACGCTCATCAAGATGATGGAATGAAAATTATTTCATAAAGTAATTTAGTGGCGGCTGAATCTGGGGGTGGTGAAGGAAAAAAATCACCCCAATTTTTTTGTGCATTCAATTTTTCATTTTTGAGTATTCAGACTCGTATTTTCAACAATCAATAAGTATTATTGACCAGGCTTCATCTGATCATTTAGTAGGCTTCATCCCAATTCCACATTACGTTGGTTATAATCAAAACCTGGAATGCCAAACACTGTGCTGCTCGGATCTAAAACTAAGTATCAATTTGAAATTTGAATCGTGAGACGAACATGAATGAAGAGTCTGCATATTGTTTTCAACATTCGTAACTGGAATGCGGTATATTTTCGTAATTTATTGATTAATCAACTATCTCAATGAATACGAGGCAGGCAGATAAGCAACAATTTTCTCTGCGATGAAAAACACTGTAAATACCTAACCCATCTAGCGTCTACCTCCTTTGCAGAGAGGGTTTATGAACGCAAAGTTGGTACTCTCCCCTCGTAAGGGTACCTGTCGTATTTCCATAGAGACATAAAGGTGAATATCTGTCTATCTGTTTGCTTGAGAATATGGAAAAAAAAATCAATATATCGCCTTCCGTCTAACCCCAAATTTTATATTGATCCCTATTTTTTTTATTGGTTCCATAGTATACGTTGAGCTGTCTCAGGGCTTGAATTATTTACACTTATTGCAATGCCACCCTGTATAATGATGTTGAGAACATTTATGGCTATAAAATATTGTTCATTGTAACAATTGAACTAAACTGTTCAATTTCATTTCTTGCTTGGCATTGGCACTCTATAAAGATTGATGGAACAATATTATGTGGGTTCATGAATCATTAAATGAAAGCAGTGCAATGGAATATAATATTTATATCAGTGTGACATATTTTTTATTTTTATTCATGATGATTTATGTATGTACAGAGTTGACGAATTTCGATGATTGTATAGGATGACTTGGGAACTGAGAACCTACATAATAGGAGATGAAAAATTCACACTAAAATTAGTGCTAGTAGAAAAAATAAATATCCTCCCTTAATTCTGACTAAGGAATCTGCAGGAAATTTTGTTTCCCTTGTTTATGTGAAAAAGCGTTACATGGTTTCAAATTTGATAATTTGAAAAAAAGAGTAATATTTAAAAAATTACGTACACTTGGGATTCAAAGTTCAAAAAAGTAATACATCATAAAACGCATATAATAGTATCGCCAGGATTTTTTTGACCTAATAGGTTCCTATTTAGTGAGTAAATTCGTTCATAATATGTTGATATCTTCTTAATCGATTGAATTTAAAAAGAGTTCTTCGTCCCTACTATTGGTAACACATCTATAGTAACATCATTTTGGAGCTGTAAATTCTCGCTTGCATGACTTGTCATATCATTTTGTACAGGGTGAACAACTATAAGAACGGCTGTCATCAATCATTCTTCCAACTTCGATCGTTAATATCTTCAGTTAGTGAAAAGCTTCTTGCTTCTTGTTGCGGTTTTAGTTGGTCTGTTGAGATTTAGTTTCTCTATTTCATCGTGTAATAATATGCATACTATTACACTTATTTTTTTTTTAATCACGATATCTATTGATGTTCTATATCACGCCTTTTAGCGGCAACGGTGATATGAATATGAAACCAATAATTCCAATCACAGTTACAACGAGCCCAAGATTATTGTATTCTGTTGAAGATAACCAGAGTGAGTGACAGACGTTTAGAAAAAACATCATTTGACGTTTCCTCATCACTTTTATTTTTTGAGATGGGACAAAAAGTGTAAAACAAAAAACTAGGAATTTATCAAACTGCATATTATATTCACACCTTGTTACTACTAAATACGGAGAACATTTCAATTTTCTCTTTATTCATAGCCGTTACGCCACCTAGCGATGATTTTAGAATCCTAAAAAAAATCTTCCAGCTATTTTTAAGGGTCACTTTTTTTCACAGTTGTATCATTATTCATTGCTGAGATATGGCCGACAGCCGTTCCTAGTTGTTCACCCTGTATATCTCCATCCGCTACCTCCTATATAATTCCCGAATACCATAAAATTTGTAATATTGAAGGAACTGATGTTTTTTAGTTTTTTATTTCAATTTGGAACTGTCGAAAAACGAAAGTCATCTTTCGTCAACCGAACGTGTATCGACTCCCGTTATGCAATGTTGCCAATCATTGTTGATTTTCCATGATATGTGGTTATAAAAAGAAAGCGTTGAAATGCATACCTGGAACCATTCATATTTGAACCCACCTGTTTCGAGTGGTGGCACATCAAAATGATCATTGGGATTACTCGAAACCACTCCAATTAGGTGGATATTGTTCAGTGGATTGCCATATTTTGGTCGTCCTCAAAAAGTTGTGGAGTTGTGAAGTGTTGAAGATTTTTTTTTAAATTCATGTTACGGAACTTCAACAAATTTGATAGATATGGTGGAATGTCTGGCGGCACTTTTCCTTGGGAATCTGAAGTAGAGTTTGCTGCGAACATCTCTGCAAAAATATTTGCTTTCTCCTGCGATGTTGTTGCTAATGTGCCGTCGGATTTGGACAGTGGTGGAAATGAACTATTAGTGAAATTTCTTCCGACCGCTTTAGCAAGGGACCAAAACGAACGGGAGCCATTGGGCCAATCTATGAGTTTCGATCTTATCTTGGCATTGTATGTTTCTTTCGAAGCATCTATTGTTTGGCTGCAGTTATTCCTGGCATCAACGTATTCTGCTCTAGTCGCGAGGTTAGGGTTTTTGCGCCAGTGGTGGTAGGCTGTTTGTTTCAAGGCAACAGTTCTAGGACAGTTTTTGTTGAACCAGGGTTTCGATGTTGAGGATCTTTTCGAAGAATGAGGTATGTATGTGTCCATTCCGAGCATGATAATCTCGGATATTTCCGCAGCACACTGTGAAGGGTCCTCAGAGCAAAGCATGCTCTATGCCAAGGAAACTCGGAGAAAAACATGCGGAGACCGTCCCAATCTCCTGAATGGGCTTATACCACAAAAAAAATTATTTCATAATTCGATAGAATTCAACCAAACTAGCTCACCACCGCAAACCGTTTCTTGCTGTGAGCTCCCTACGTTTTATAAAAAATTATTGAAGTCTCCGATTTTTCCGACCTCTGAAAACGAGGCGATGATGTGACGTCAAAACCCTAATACTGAAAAAAGACTATTTCAGACAGAGATGAATGATACATGATTTCTGACAGAGTGAATTAGCGGGCGTTTGGTATTTTCTTTAAACTATGGCGAGATGAGGTTTCTACGTCATAAGAGGGTCCGTTTTCAGAAGGTACTATTATTTATGTCCAAAAATAAAACATTCCAGTTAATTTTTCGATCGAATTATGTCGTCAATCATTATTTATGTATAAAAGGATCATTATAAACATGGTTTGAGTTAAAAGTTCTACTAAGGTGTACACGCCCATTGTAATGCCATATAAGTCGTGGGGGTACCGGAGCAGTTGATGGAATGAAAAAGGGGCAGGTTGTGGAGATGAGTGTGTGGTCAGAATTGCCAAGTGGAGCTCGTACATCTATGGTGTAGGGTGCTTAATTATTAGTGAGGAATAAGTCAAGTATGTTAGCTGAATGGTTATTGGCATCGGGAATTCATGTGGGTTCTTTGATAAGCTGCTCTAAGCCGTGAGTGATGGCGAAAGCTACGGCTTGTCGCCCAGCTTCATCCGTTCTGTTAGAGTGTACGAGCCAAGCAGTGTTGTGTACATTGAAATCGCCCATGATGATGATTTCTGCTGCTGAATGGTTCTGTTGAATTTGGTCAAGCTTCAGAGACAAGAATTCGAAGAGCTCTTCATAGGATGGATCATTTGGTGATAAGTAGAGACAACAAAGGTATTTGGTCTGTTTCTGGCTATCGAGTTTGAACCACATGACATCAAACTTATTTGCTTCCAAAGTTTTTTCTCGTTGACATGAGAGATTCGTTTTAGAGTAGAGGCAGAGACCTCCCTTGAATCTGAAACGTGTGTGGAGTTCGTACCCAGGACAGCCAATATGTCTGGCTTTTCAATTTGAAGGTGTCGATGGACATCGTTGATGTTCTTACTTAGACTTCGGATGTTACATTGGTCTATCTTGAGGACTTTTTCAGTCGATGGTGAACCCCCTCTAGCACCTCTCGCCCGGAAATCCGAATGGAGAGGTATTTTACTTCCGGATAATTTTACTTGAGGAGAACTCATCATCGCTTATTCTGTATAGAGAAGGAAGGTTGGCGTGGAAGGAAAGGAAAATTGGGTTGGGTTGGTCCTCTTCAATTCTAGGGAATTCATTCGACAATCTGGCAACGATGCGCCCTAACGCAGTCGCAAGGACCAGCGTCGGCCGTCACACTGCGCTATCCATGCGCTATCAAAATAATTCGCGACTTCGCGAGTTGCAGGTTGCAACGGTGTTCGTTCGTGGCGAACTTCACTTGCGGGTATCGTCGCGCAAATAAAACAACAAAAGGCTGTTCGGACGAGCAACAAGACAAGCGCTGGGTAACTCGATATCATTGTCGCAATTACATAATCTCCAAGACAGCATAGTAGGCTTGTTTAAACAAGAGATTGGAGTGTTGTTGAGAATGAGAGAGACTATTGTGCAACCAGTGAAGCGTGATTTTTAACAGTTTTTTCTTCGGATGGTAAGCACTAAGCAGTAACCAGCAATTAAGTTCCATTAGACAAATTAATAACAATAATAATCAAGCAATCTAACTGCAAAACCGCAAATGTTTTTGTTGCCAAATATTTGACTACTAGGCGCTACCTGTCATTTAGTAACTGACCATGGTATATTCACCTAGATTTCAACGGAAATATGCATTTTACCCCGTATCCTAGGGGTAGTTTTTACGTTCGATGGTGTGTTGTATTGTGATAAATCGGCAATATGGCAGTAAAGCGGTGAAAGGGGTGAGTCATTTTCCATGGGAAATATCCACTCCCATTTTCCTAGGGGTAGGTTTTGGTTTTCCATTGTTTGGGTAGATCGGAAGTTGAGCAAACATTCGATGGGCGTTCTCGATTACCGTTTCCGCTAAAAGACAGGGTAATAATAGATGTATTTGTGTTCGTGAAGGTTCGAGGGGTTGTTGATTGACAGCTGTAACAAAGCGAAATTGAAATGAGCAAATATTTTTCCAGTTTCGTGAATGCTTCATTCAGTTCGTTTCACTCAATTGGAAATTCCCTAGTGCATTTAATTGAAGGTTTTGAATTGTCAAAAATTGTAAAACTGGTAAATTTCGAATAAAGCTACTAGGTACATACCTACATGAAGCAGCAATAAAAGAAATCTCGGTTCCTTTGGGTGAATATGCCTCAGTGTTCCTGGCTGGAGTACTCGCAATACTTACCTGTATCCAAGAAAACCTGACTATGAGACGTCGTAGACCAATCACTATATGCTCGGACAGCAAAGCTGCAATAATGGCTTTGCAATCCAATAGGATCACAACCAATTTGGTGTCCGAGTGCAAAAAGGCCTTGAAAAACCTGGCAAAATCAAGAAAAGTCATCCTCATGTGGGTCCCGGGACACTCGAGGATACCCAGAAAAGAGGAGGCAGACAGACTGGCCAAGATCGGTTCAGGACGGTCCCCGGTCGGACCGGAACCAATCTTGGAAATGCCAAAAAGTTTGGCAATTTCCTCCATAGAGGGACAGCTGCAAAAGCAATTCCTCAAAATATGGCAGGACACACCAGGAATGAGACAATCGAAGCTCCACATAAAGGAACCTTCGAAAAAGCTCACAAAGGAGGTTTTATCCCTCAACAGGGCATACCTTGAAATGGTAGTGAAGCTCCTAACGGGGCACAACCACCTCAATAGGCACCTAGAGCTTATTGGGATCCAAGATGATCCCCTTTGCAGATGATGCCTTGGAAGATGACGAAACGTCATCGCATGTCCTCACTGAGTGCCCAGCACTGACACATCAGAGGAGGGCTATCCTTGGCAACATAATTTTGAGGCCAGAGGACGTGAAAGAGATTTAGCTGAGGAAGCTGCTGAACTTCTCCAAGGAAGTCGGCATATCTAGCTGAATGTCGGAACATGTGGGCGCACAATAGGCCCGAATAAGGAGGCCTACGTGCAGGGGTGTTCACCCGCCCACCAGTGCTTCGAAGAAGAAGAAGAAGACCTCGAAGAAGACATACCTACATATTATACATATTATACGGATCACCACAGGTCGGGCAAAAATCTAGCCGAAATTGTATTCAACTGTCGATTCAACTAATACGAATTTATTTTTATGTTTTGGTGAATTTATGAACAAAAAAGGATCAAATTGTGACTAATCTATTGTATCATTCAACCAATCAGCCTCTCAAATTCTCAGTTGAATTATTATAGTTCCTAGTTATATTTGAATTTATGAATTCTAAATATGTTTTCTGTTTTCTTGCCAAGTTGTATTCTGCTTGTGTCATAGGTAGTATAGGGAATGCCTGAGTAACTAATTCTCAAATTCAATTTTCGTTTATATGGTATCGAAAAAAATAGTAGATGCCTTTTGAAAAAGTTTTGTTTTCAGCAAATTATCAATGCGTCATTTGAACATCGCCCGTGCCTATCCCATATGGTTCAAAATTGGACCATCGATGGGACTTCCAGCTTCCAGAAGTATTAATTTAAAAAGTTTGTGGAAACACAATCTGTTCGATTTACCTCAGTTCATCGTCAATATTCAACAACTTTTCAACCATGCAACCATGTCGAATCGATTGTTGAATTTTCTCGATGAACTGGGGTAAATCGAACAGATAGTGTTTCCACAAACTTTTTGTGACAAAAAATAACAAATAAATGCTCTTCGAATCCTATTCTAATAAGAATAATATTCTCGAGGTAAATTCGACATTGCCGCTCCCACTATTTTATCTCTCATTTCGTCATCAATGAACATTTTGAAGCGAAATCAGAGGGTCCTAAATCGTGGTGTAAAGTTTTCGTTAGACCACCCTGTATAGGCGCCTCAATTTTGAATTCCATTTTGAATCATATCAAGCACAAAGCGATGCGATGATGAATAACAATTATGTAATCTATTCGAGAAAAGGTTTTGAAATTATTTCTAGGAGCTAGAGATTTGGTCATGTCACATCCCATTTATGGTTTTCCGATTCAAAAATTGACTCATCCAATGATTCATCACCCTGTACGTTACCGTTCTTCGAACTCACGACCAAAGTTTTATCGACACGACCGTTTTTATTACAAGTAGTTTTATCACTATGTAGCTTGTAAGTGCTGCATTTACCAGATAAATCAATTCCAAGATACGTCTTCGTGTGTGTTGTAGATAAAGAGAAGTAGAACGCATATTAGGAATCCACGATCAAATCAAATGTATGAAGACATGTTGCTAGATATAGGAAAACAATCAATAGCGTAATAACATTTTTTTCTAGGGGTTGCAACAACTAGAAATAATTAGAACAATCTCGGAACAAATTGGGTAATAAATAATAAAAACCGAGAAAGAATTGATATTTTCATCACATAGAAAATGCGAATTCTCAATGTATTTCTTTATATACAGGGTGTTTCAAAAAAACCTGCCCCCTTGCTAGGGTAGGTAGAACACTGCAAAATAAGTTGGGTTTACTCAGTAAAAAAATTTCGTATATGAGAATATCCCTTTTCAAGAACCGTAACTTCTTAAATCTTCATATTTCGTCAATATTTTTTTCTTCGATTTCTTCCAACTTCCAAACGTTTTGTTGAAGGCATGGATTTTTTCAAACAAATCAATATAATATTTCCATTTTTTTTTGTAATTTTCTCTCTTCGTTTCAATAAAATGAAAATATGAGATTATTTCAATATACGTGTAGTAAGGACGAATCAGATGATTTGCCCCAAAATGTCAATGCGTTTAAAAATTTCCTCATTAAGGAGCCTAAAAGAAGTAATCGATTGTCAGTGACACTTTTTTTTTGGAAAATGTTCGAAGATAAATATAGATATATCGAAAAATATCAAAAAGTGTCAACACCGATACCTGAAGACAATTCGAAAGAATATTTTCCATTTTTTTATATGTTGAAAACGGAAGCAGATTGTTACCGAAACTTCCAAAGTTAAGTAAACATTTGATATTTTTTGACATATCTATAGTTCTCTTCTTCAAACATTTTTCGAAACAAAGTTTCAACGACAATCGGTTGAATTATATTTTTAGTCTATCTGTGAACATTTTCAAACACATTGAAATTTTGGAGCAAATCATCGGATTTGTCCTCTCAGTATATTGAAATAATACTAATATCTTCATTTTATAGAAACTACAATAACTGTATTGATGTTTTTCCCGAGAATGTAATTTTTTGTGATTTTTATATACCTATTCAATAATGGAAGTGTGGACTTCAAATTATAATTGTTCCATATAAATCCTCTCATAGCGAGTTTTCATTTTTTCAAGGCTTTCAAGAAGATAAATCAAACAGACAAAATCGAGAAAAAGCTAGAAACCCAACTTCAATAGGAAGATAGGAACATAATAACTTGAAGTAGTAGACAAAAACGTGAACGTTAGATTTAATAGATGTAGACATTGAAAATATTTCAACCGTAACGTAGACTCAGACGTACGTAACGGTGAATACACTCTGTATACGATTATCTATGAGCGACCGGAAAGAATAATTTATAGTTACTAATTAATAATTAATTCTGATAAATATCCTGAGATTACAGAGAATCGAATTTCTATTCCTATTAGGATGGTAGATCTCTGTGCTCTATTTTTAGTATGCCCAATGGGGGAGACCACTGATTTTTTAAAATGACATTATCGTGAACTCTATACTGAAAAACTACCAGCGAATTAATTTTGAATTTTGTCATTCATGCTAAAACGATGGAAAAAATAAATTAGAATATGCCCATTTCAAAACACACAATTCCTGCGCCATTTGAACTGTTGTCAATTCATTGGTGTGACTGGTGCGACGTCTTATTCTCAACACGCCTATTGTCCTTGAACTGACCAATCACACTGCAACACTGTAGAATGACGAGGTATCAGAGAGAGATAGCTACAGTTCGGGAATAATACGTCACGACTCCACCATCATATTTGACTGTTCGAAATATCGAATGAAATATGCTGATTTCAAAACGATATAGATTCGATTCCCTTCAACTTTAACTCATAATATTGATTGTACATCAAACGTAAATCATGATTCGTCGATTGAAAGAGGTTTGCACGGATTTCTTCTCTCAGTGGTCTTCCCCATTCCTGCGCCATTTGAAATTTTGTCAATTCATTGGTGTGACTGGTGCGACGTCTTAGTCCCAACACGCCTATTGCCCTTGAACTGACCAATCACACTGCAACACTGCAGAATGACGAGGTATCAGAGAGGGATAGCTACAGTTCGGGACTAATACGTCACGGCTTCACCATCATATTTGGCTTTTTTGAATATCGAATGAAATATGCTGATTTTAAAACGATATAGATTCGATTCCCTTCAACTTCAACTCATAATATTGATTGTACATAAAACGTAAATCATGATTCGTCGATTGAAAGAGGTTTGCACGGATTTCTTCCCCCAGTGGTCTTCCCCATTGCCCATGGCAGATGTAAAAACTTCACAAACGATAAGATTTCCATGGCAGTGTTTTATTTCAGAAAACATTGTTTGGTTGTTTAATGTGTCGATACAGTGCCATATACAGGATGGACCTCTTTTTTAGGACCAAATTATAAATTAGAATATCTCCAGCAACTTGGAAGAAAGGAATATTTTTGTATTGGAGTTTCTTGATACAACTTTCAAAAACTTTGAAATCGGTAACTTTCAGCTACTAAGATGTAGTATGGCTTCTTTTATTCACTGCTTTCAAGTTCTTGGTGAAAAATAAAGGTGAAAAAAAAATCTGTCTCAATTTATGTACTTCTCACTATGACTGTGAATGTTTAATGTTGATGAACTGGGATAACAAGGGTGTATATGTATTGGTTTGATGAAACAAAGTTCTACCTGTTGATAGGACCATGAAAACCAAATTATGTATAGTTAGGATGTTGTTACACCAAATTAAGAGAGAAACATTATGTAGATAGAACTCTGCATTATGACTAACTCATTTAAATTCCAACACTTCCAACAGATTGCAATAGTTGACCTCTCAAAATGAAAAATTCATCGAATAGAACCCCTAATATACCAAAATGTCAATTTTGGTAGAAAAGGACAGAAAGGGCAACGATTGATAACTTGTTGCACATTACGAAGAGTGTCAGTTTAACAGATGAACGAACGTCAAAATTTTTATTGTATTAATGAATTGATTGCTATGGAAATGGAAATAATAATTCTAAATTTCTGATTGGTGCTGTTGCTTACTCTATGTATATTCACGTATATTCTGAATCATACAAAATTGAAGGTTCTGATTGGTTTAATATCATACGAAGAAAATAATCAATATTATTTTTAATAGATTGGGGTGACTGAAGGCATTAGTTTTCGTGATTTATATAGTTTTAAGTAGATACTCAGTGTTGATGAAATAATCAGTAGATCTGTCTTGGTAAGCCAGTCACCAGATTTCAATTTTCCCATTTCGCCTTACATCTAGTCTAGAATACTCTCGACGTTTCACTTCAGAAAATACAATTACTCTTTTTACGGCGAGGAAAGACAACAAACGTTTTGAGATATATTTCCAAATAAAAACGTAGTAAATGAATTCGTCACTTGTCAGCGGAAGTGAAAGGAAAACAAATTTCCGTTCCATTGGTGAATAAATCATGGGAAGTTGAAGTTTAACATCATGATTGTGTATTGGCACAGAATGTCAAAATTTTTTGCCAAATGTCACGGAAACCTAAAATTCATTACAGTATGTATTTTGACTGTTTACATAATTTCAATTAGATATTGAAATTTGTTTTACATTTTAATGAACATAACTTTTAGGTGCGATAATGAAATCATTAATTATTTCTGATTAATAAACATTAATTTAGAATCCATCGACCACTGGATTAGAGCGAAAACAGATGAAAGCGAGTTGATGTTGAGCCAAAACAAAATGAGGTCAACGAAAATGTTTTGAATGTGTTATAAAGGAATATTTTATTCTTGGATGCACTTTAAAATTCACTTTCTCGATGTGCGTGATTTGTAATTGAATTCTCTCAATTCACAAGTTTCATTTAAAATGTCCCGGAATCCGAATTGTATATTTCTGTCGATTTGTTTTGTCTTAGCATTTCGGGCTAGATAAACTATAAAAACGGAAAGATAGTAGATGTCTATCTTTCAAACTTTCATGAACTTTCTGAATCTAAAATTCTCAAACATAGCATACTTAAGCGATAAATAATGTTTTGTAAATATTAATGACAATAAAGTGTGTTTCTTGTTAGGTCCAAACCAATCCTTGTTCATCAGTTCATCTTTCTCGTGGACCTAACAAAATAGCTCTCAAAACCCAAGGATGCAGTGAAGGATGAGATCCAAAACTGTAAAGTGAACATCAACTTTCAGACAAGTTGATGTTCGATGGCATAGAATCATAGATGAATAAGGGTTCTATTGAATATCATTGGAAATTATTATGGGTTTACACGAGGGTTTACAGAGCCGTGGTAACCATAGAAAAACCTTTCAGTTTATCGATTAATAATTTTTTACTATTATCAACTAATTAATTATCACCTTGCACGAATGAACTCATTTTCCTTGCTATTTTTCACTCTTTTTTGCCGTCATGAAATGATGCATGATCGACTTACACGGCATGACCTTGATTCAGATGATACAATTACCTACAAACGAACATTTTTTGCGGAATATGGGAAACCAAACTGAAATGTGCCTGGTAGCAAATAAAAATTGTTGATATAAACTAGAGAGCAAAGAATTCAATGATTAAAATAAATCATACTTATTTTTTTATTTGTCTTGAAATAACTGGGTTTCTATATTCAGGGTGTTGAGGTTCGCTTGAATTTTCAGTTCTGAAACAAACCCATGGTTGATCTAAAATTTGGGGTGGGCCTTATTAGCCCTTTTTGCAGTCATTTGAACGATTATACTGCTTCAAAGTATGCCATATAGATACCATATTTTTATGATATTGCTCGTAAGATAATTTTTTTTACAGATGATGTGAACACGACTTGGATTTGTAGCTATTCTGATCACAAAATACCTACCAAGACATATTGGACTCTCATCGAGGTTTGAACTAAAAAGGACGTATTGCAAACATTAAGCCACTGATAATGATAATAAAGAAACAATGTGAATAAAAAGGTGAGTTTCATATGGGTCATTATTTTTAATTAATATTGATGTTGTGGAGAATGCGTTTCATATATGGGTTATTAAGAATATTGTTATGAGGAAAGACGTTTTTTATAAGTACTAGTTGCAAAAATGTGATTGGTATAGCTGTCACGATGACCATTTTTTTGAAATCTAGCTGTATTTTGCTCAATTGAGAATGCTTGAGATGAGACTTATATGTGGTGGATATACAGGATTTTTTTAAGAGAAAAAAAAATCCCATAAAAATCTCGAGAAATAAATAATTCTGTCACTTTGTTTTTCACGAAACTGTAATGTCGAGCAACACCACAAGAACACCAGGACAAGTGGTGTTGCTGTATGGCAACAGAATTGAGTCAAGAAGAAGACACAGAATTATGAGGACATATTCAGAACAGAGTGGTATCTTTCTAGAATATTTCATGAAGCAAAAGAGCAAACATGAACAATCCATTTTGACCGAAGCGATTCATTCTGATATCTACAAAATTGAAATGCAGCCATTGTCTTTGATTTGTGATTGGTCAGGTTATAAGAGGATTTTAAGATGAGTGAAAAAGTGCCTATATAATCATCAGCAGCATTCGGTTCCTGCGATATAATCAGAACTCCTGGGTAAAATGTTAATGCATGATGAAATTGTTATCTCGTTGAATTTATCTGGAAATTGGTTATCGATTGGCAGTAGATGACGGCATTACGCTCTATTGTAAATATGGCAGCCGCCTCAGATATTAGCAGAAACCATTCCCCATTCCATCGAAAAATAAATATTCCTGGCGGTATATCACTGGCAGATTTTTTTTGCTTTTGATTTTTTCCCGATGTTCGAGTTTTCGCAATGGAATTTGGCAGAATGCCATCAGACGTGGTCGAAAATTGCACACCGATTGTAAACTAACCTTGCAGTTGAATATTTTGCTAGCCGAAAAACCATCATGTTTTATGATTCGACTTGTGAGTGTCGATAATTAGAAAATGTTTACCGGGATCGTTTGTTTACAAAAAGCAACTGGGTTGTGTATACATTTGCTGTGCTAGAAGAGATAGATGAAAAGTTAAAACTAGTAAAAAGTAAACACACTAAAAACCTAAAATAATAAAGATTACGTGGTTGGGAAAATTTCAATTACGCTCATCGGCAAATCTATCAAGCCCGACTAATTTTTATCTATTTTTGTGTTTGATTTCAACTGTAGATATGAAAATGGTGAAGTCATTTACAGACAGACAGACAGTATGTATATAATTGAATAATCAGAAAGACAATAAAAACCACTTCCATATTGAATTAATTGTTCGTTCACGGTATGAATTGGAATTTGACATATTTGTCATAGACGACAGGTATAAAAGGCAAAATGAAAATTTGACAATTAGTGTGTCAGATTGTTAGTCTTGATTTTCAACCTTTTAACAGTTATGGTTGCCTGTCACATGACCGACCCTGGAGGTAAATAATTGAAAGACAACCTCACTTTTCTTATTTGTTTACAAATGAATCAAAGGATTGAAATAATTTTCCGACTATTCAAAATAGGTGCGTTTTGTTGTGCCATTCCGGAAGTGATAGAATGAGTGGGCCCAAGAAAACGGATCGGCGCATGATCGGCGCCAAACAATGTTAACATTTGAGACTGTAGAAACATTTGATATTTTCAACCTCAAAATCTGATCATATTATATTTGTCCTCGTATTTGTCTCTGGTGTGTAACAATTTTACCATTATCATCATTCTGCTCTTAATTCCATGAATCAAAAATTGATATAGACTAATTTAATATCCATGATTCTCAACCAGAGTTTGAGGATAATGATTGAATTTTTGGAAGACATGAATGCCTTAGATGGAGGAATTTTCGTTCTTATGTAGTTCTCTTCAATTTCTATTCATTATTATTAGCTTGTATGCGATAAATGCTGACAATTTTTTCTTTTAACTGTCAATTCTCATGTCACAATAATAATCACAAGTCACTTTCATTTTCATTTCAATTTTCAATCCTTCTAATGAGAAGGAATGCGAATGGGAATGAAAATGGTTTTGAATGCACAACTAAACGTGTACAATGCCAAGAACCAGATTGAGTTATGGCACAACAAAACGCACCTAATAATTCAAGCATGTCATCACATTGTGCTGTTGTAAAATGCACAAAAAATGCAGCGGGATACGAAGGAATCCGATTGCAAGTAGGTACATAGTGAACTAAAGGTACTATAGTCACTCACATATAGATTCCATTTTGAAATGTTGTCATTTCTCGTTGAAATTTGGAATTCCTTCTGCAATAGGAGCTAACAGAATTACCAGTTGAGTTTCTAAAAGAAGGTAAGAAGATTGGATTCATGCAATCAAAAGGGAGGTCAGCTGATATGCTGAGGAAATATGATGGTGTGTGATTAGACATTTTCCCTCTTTTAGCAGTATCAGCTTTGTTTGCAGAAGTGGCAAAGGAAAAAGGAATTCTGATGGAAAATGATAAAATTCCATAATAAACCCTATGTGAGATGACTATTTACCTGAATAATCATATATTCCTTCGTCTCTCGCTGCATTTTTTGTGCATTGTACAACTGCAGGATGTGATGTTAAGCTTGAATTCGATCCTCTGATTCCAAAGAAAAGTGAGGTTGTGTTTCAATGTATTACAGGAAAGTGAGATTGTGCTTTTCATCTCCAGGGTCGGTCATGGTGCACGCGATCTATCTCTTTGTACCCTTGAAATTAACTGTCAAAATTATCTAGTGTTTTTTTCAACAATCTCGATTTTAAACTCAAATTATGTTGTGCTATCTTAACCTCAAGCTAACACAACCGCTTCACAACTTTGCACTCAAATGAGTTATGAAGTTGAAGTTTATTCAAACGGTCAAATTTTTGAGCATATTCGAAGGTTTTACAAGGGTCTAACCTACCTGACATTCTTGAAAATATTTACCTGTGATTCTCAACGGTAATTTTGCGTATTTGCCCCTTGTAAAACATTAAAATTTGTTCAAATTCAAATTATTATATCTAATTAATACATATTCAATGGGAAAAGGACGAAGTCATCTACACGACTATTTGATCACAATCAAATTAGGAACATGTCCATCTTCAGCCTATTATAAGAGTCCTACAATACAAGATCATAAAATGAATAAAAACATTATAAATAGATAGTACTCAGATGGGTATGCAGAAGGTTAAGTTACAATTCGAGTTATTAAACATTTGAAAATATGAGAGATTGAATCAACTTCATAACTTATTTGGTCGAGAAGTTGTGCTAGCTAAGCCAAAACGGGTGTGTCAGTTTTATATAAAGAATATACCTCAATATATGCAGAGGTTTTTATGTTGGAAATTGCATTTTTCGTTGAACTCGACAACGCAATGTTCTATTTTGTTTTTCATTTTTCCATCTCATAGATCGCCATAAATACTGCTAGTTTGCTAATTAAAACAATCTTTAATAAAAACGAAGTTACCAATGGAGGACACTTAATTTGGATAATGTACCTACGCAATGTTCCATTTTGTTTTTCATTTTTCAATCTTAAAGATCGCAATAAATACTGCTAGTTTGCTAATTAAAACAATCTTTAATAAAAACGAAGTTACCAATGGAGGACACTTAATTTGGATAATGTACCTACGCAATGTTCCATTTTGTTTTTCATTTTTCAATCTTAAAGATCGCCATAAATACTGCTAGTTTGCTAATTAGAACAATGTTGTACTCATCTTTAATAAAAACGAAGTTACCAATGGAGGACACTTAATTTGGATAATGTACCTATATTCTGCCTCTTGGATGGCAACACGGATTAATATTACATGAAGGCAACGAGGCGCGGCTTAATCGCGATAGTATGCATGGCCGACCAAAAAAACTTATTACCTAATCAACTACACTATCCACTTCATTTAGGAATTAGGCAACGCCAAAATATCGATCGGAAAAATGATCTCAATTAAGATAAAAGGGCGCCGTTCTAAATTGAACACCTAATATTGGTTTAAAAAATAGCGACAGCGGAGTCCACGCCACGAAAGATAATCTTTTGTTGTTATTTTTTGGATAGTACGAAATGAAATTCCTATAGTGTAATCGAAGAACATATCCTCAGGTTTCTGAGGTAGGAAGAGGAGGAGGTTTTAATTATTTCCGAACGTTCTTGAATTTTTTTTATTTATTCTCCGACCGACTGAAAGTGTTTCAGGGTGGATGCAATGAATGACAGCATTTCAAAAATTTGTGGTCGTGGATAATCAAACACGCTCTATCCGTCTATGTCGTATATTTGAGAATTTTGTGTAAATCTTATCGTTTGTGAAGTTTTTACATTTGTTATTTCAAATGGAACAACCTCATAGGATTCCTCATAACTTTTCCTGATGATGCCCTTTATCTATCGTTGACAGTTTTCGCCATAAAAATTATTTTATAAAATTGTTGTGCAAAATATAGATTTCTGTCACAATGCAATTTTATAAAACGTTGCAATTGATGTCAAAGCTGCATACGACCATCAAAAATTTTGCCGATGAACCGGATCTCAGTTTCAGCATACAGGGAGGCTCAACTTCCGGGGACTCATGAAAATGACTGAAACTCAGTTTTCTTGAATGGAACACTCTCAATATTAAGTATAACTCTTTTTGGAAACTCTGATATTTTACTATTTGAATTTGAATGTATATAATTCCCGAGGCATATCCGGTACAGTTTGTTAGTTCAATAAAATAAATAATGGATAGTAATTTATATCTTCATGATTTTTATCCTCACAGAAAACTGACATATAATTCAATCATTGTCATCCTGGATTCAATTTCCATAGGAGTGAAAGTTATATGGCAGAAAATAATTACTCATCATTCATTGCAAGAATGCCAGCAGAAAATGCCTGGATCTTAATCAAAAGTATCCTGATTACGAAAAAATGTGAAAAAGTTGCCTGGATCTTAATCAAAAGTATCCTGATTACGAAA